GTGTATACTATTATAAATACATGGCAATTATTATACACACTATGATGATCTTTCCCTTTCCTTGGCCACCCAAAGCAAATTTAGCAGGGGCATAACACAGGATGATGTGGTGGAAAAGCTAGTGCGGTGTAGTGGCTAGAGCTGGACTAGGATCTGGGAGACCCAGGTTTGAATCCCCAGTCTGCTATGGAAGCTAGCCAGTCACTCTCTCTCAGCATAAACCTACATCAAAAGGTTGTCGTTGTGAAGATGAAATGGAAGAGAAGAGGATCAATGTTGCAAGTTGCTTTGGGTCTCTGTTGGGAAGGAAAGTGAGGTATAAGTATCTATATAAATAAACTAAATGATTTAGGCATCCATATACATCTGCTGATTTATCATTCAATTACACCACCTTTATGAACAGGTTGTATAACTTGTAGTGCCATCCTAAGCAGACTGAGGGACACCTCAGTCAGTTGAAGTCAGTGGGTTTAGGAAAAGGTAACACTATTTAGGACTGCACTGTTGGACCTATCAAGAACAACATAGCCGATCAGCTCTGTGTCGTGAAGTATTAGACAGGCTTTAACTTTTTCCTTGCAGTTATGGGTAGGCATACAAAACAAGAGGTGAGCTGCTGTGTATTCAAGTTGTGTAGGACTGACTTATCGTGACCAGTTGTGAAGAACAGGGGCTTGTGTGTATGTGTACAATTTCAGTGTAGATTGTCATGCAGGTTGAAGAAGACTCCACTACCCAAAGCTGTCTCTTCTATATAGCTATTAAAAATACAAGATCTGGCTCTCCCCTTCACATGCAGCCATTTTATCAGAAATACATGTGCATCTCCACTGTCTTATACACATCAAATAACACATCTTTAAAAAGTTTTAATGTGTCCCCCATTTCTCTTTTAACACCTGCTCCTTTAAAAGTACAATTATGGCTAGGAGAAAGGATGAATTTAGAGTCACTTTATCTCCAGCCTTTGGTTTGAACTATGTGACTTTTTGACGACCTCTGACCTGACAGGTCAGCAGTTAAGCTATCCATTATCTCACTTTTCCTTTTATGGCCAAAGGATGAAAGACCATGTCAGATCTGAACTGCTTGCTTCTGTCTTCACTTGGTCATCTCAGACAATTCCCTTAGGCTTAAAAAAAAAGACAACACTGAAAGAGCAAGGTAAATCGTATAGCTTTGTCCAGCACTGTGAGCACTGAATGGCACAGCCTTGATTCATAATTGACTAGCATCGTTCTCAGAAAGAGCTGCTGCTGGATTTCTGTTGTAGAAGATCCTACAGCTGGTCTGTACAATTATTCCCAGTGCAATATACCTTCCTACTCAAACGGAGAACTTCTTCCATTTCTGGGGGTAAACTATGAACAAAGTTCATATGTACATTGTTACAGTTCAACAGTCATACATGCACATTCATCTCCTGATGACTTTTTGACAGACAGAACAGATGAAGGAAGATGCTTAGTACCAAGTTGTACTATCAGTGCACCTAGTCAAGCATTGTTTGCCCCAATTCTGCTGTCTGAGATCCTATTAGCTAAAGACCCAGGAACTGATCCTAGGAACTTCTTCTACATGTAAGGAATGTGCTGCGTTACTATGTCTACTCCCATACATATCACCAGTGTAATTTCAAATGCATTGTTTCTTGATGGTGCTAGTTCAGGCACTTTGTGAGATGTGTGTACATGGCTCACATCTTTTACCATATTAGAAATATGTGCATTTTCCTACAAATTTCTGGACATATGTAGTTGTTGCAATTTCTGTTTGCATCTGATCTGCCTAATGGAGCTCTCTTGAGTTTGCCAGGTGGTGGAAGATAGGAAACTCATAGAGCTGATTAGCGAAGGTTGGTATGAGATTTCTGGCAGGCATAAGTAGCTTCTAAATAGTTGGACTGATTCTCCCTTCTGATTGGTAATGCCTTATGCATGCTTGCTTCCCATCTTCTCGACCTGTACATCTCTCAAGAACCAAAGTCTTGAGTATTAATTCCTCACAAAGATACCGATCCCACGAAATATTTGAGTATTCATTCCTCACAAAGATACTGACCTTACAAAGCTGGCCATCGAACTTCATAAGCAGATATAAGGAAAGCCAAACAATTTGTTCCACGTGTAAACACTTTCCAATTCCAAATATTTCATTTTTATTACAAAAAATAAAGTGACGGATTTTGTAAATAATTTATTTCTTTAATATATTAGCCATTAAATAGAATAGTATACAGGAAAGGGAACCGATCACACAATATTTGTTCATATCTATACAGAGGGGAATCACAAAACATAAAAAGTGCTGATAAAATAAATCTTTGGTAGATAAGACTATTTAAAAACTCAAGTTGTACAGTAGCAGTAGCCAGATGCTATTTGTTTTGAAGAACAAAGCCTTTGCTATAAAACTAAGCAGGACAATTCAGAAATATTACTACAAAGATAACTTTTCATGACTCTAACATTAAAAACCTGTTTCTTTTGCCTCAGAGCAATCTTCAAATCAAGAAAATAATTTTACTAGTTTGGTGTATTTAGAATAGCTTTGACTGCTCCAGCACATGGATATTGAGACTGGTACCTGGTTTTGGTTGCTTATCATGTCAGGTTATACCAGCAATAAACTTGCCAGGAGGCAGCTTTAGCACTCAGAATCACTTCATAATTTCTCAGTGTTTTAATTCTTAGTTGAAAATATGAGAGTCTCCAGTAGAGTTTGTTGTTTAAATGCACAATGTTTCCAGTCCTCATGCTCAAAGCTTGAAAATGTGATGGCAGTGTTTTTAATATATTCAGCATATATTCAGACACCCGATTTCTGTTATAACACAGTTACTGATGTAGTCATGGAACAGTTGGCTCGCCAAGGTTCTAAGTTGTTTGAAAAGTGCAAATTCAATGGACTCCGAAACCATACTGTTTTCAGCAAACTAGATCTTGCAGTTTATCTAAGCTTTTGCAAATGCTGAGGTTTTTTTTTCAGGTGACCTGGATCTACTGGGATTCTATTACGTGGTCAATAGAAGAAAGCCGAATCCACAGAAGGAGCACCAAAAAACATTGTTTACAATGGTGTGTGGCCCACCCCTCCCCTTCTCAGAACAATTTTTCATGAGTTTAATCGCTGGGGAAAGTATAAAAAATAAAATAAATATCTCACAAACATTTGATCA